AAAAAAACAAAAAAAAGCCTTCACAAAAAGCACAAGTCCAAGAAAACAAAATTTAAGAAAAGGGCAGGAAAATAATTAATTAATCTACATGCAAACCCAATAATCATTTCCAAAAATTTGTCCAACACTTTCTAATTAGTTCCAGATAATTCAGAATATGAGCATCGACACCCACCCACCCACACACACACACACACACACACACACACACACACACCTTAGCGATACGCTTACTGCTTCTATGGCTGATCATATACTTCCAGCCCGCCATCAGCCCGATCCCGAAAACCATACCCATCACCATTCCCGATATCAACCCCATCTCGCTCCAATTTTTCGTTTTCCCCCTTCTTCTTCAAAATCACTCAACACCAAAAACCGAACGGATCAAAAAACAAATTCCGTACGTTACAAAAACCCACCGGACCTCCAGAACTCGGAATTTACTGTTACATTAACCTATCGCCGCCGTTTAAAGACCGTCAAAATCACCAAACGCTTCAAAAAAAAAAAAAAATCGAGCATTTACTATCATTTCATCGACTGTTGTGTGCGAGATATTCTTGGTGGGTTTGTCAAATTCGAGCTCTGCTGCTGTTATACGATCACATCTCTCTCTCTGTCTCTCTCATTTTTCTCTTCGTCTCTCTCTACAACTGTCGTTCTTAGATATGTGGGCTGGCTTTGATTTTTTCGGAAATCCAAATTTCTATGCTTATACGTTATGTTTTCCTATGGTTGATTTAATTTCAAACATCATTAATTAATTATTTTTTTCAAAATCCCCTTGTGCCCTTCCCCTTTATATAATTTGTGAATACAATTAGCATGACAGGCTTGCATGCTTCGGATTTTTCTAAGTGTCAAAATTTCATGTTATGTTTCATTATTTACATTGGATAGATTTTAATTTAATTCCAATCCAAAAATAGTTAGGTCCGGATCACCATAAATATGTTGATGTATTTATGATCATTTTAAATGTATGAATTGTATTTTATTATCATTTCTTATTATAAATATTGAATTGTAAATATATTTTAAAAGTTGATATCTTTTGTATTTTTTTTTCGGTTTTGCATATATAATATATCAAATTAATCATCTTTTGATGAGCTTCAATTTGACATCCATATTGTGTATATAAAATAAATAAATTATATTTATCTTTATAATAATAATAAAATTATTTATTAAATTAATTAGAAAAATATAATTATTTCTCAATCAATATATTTATGTTTAATGTAGTTATATGATGTAAGTTAGAAAAATTATTATAATATAACACATGTAAGTCGCACAAGGAACAATATCATACTAAAATATATAATAATTAGTACAACGCCCGTGTATTACACGGGTACTTGCTAATTTTTTATTAAAATCTAAAATTAATGAGAAAAAATTAATTGAAAATTTCAATACCTTTTATAAAATATATATTATTATATATTTAGTATGACACTTTTTTACTTGTGCGACTTACCTATGTTATATTATAATATTTTTTTTGACTTACAACATATAACTACATTAAACATAAATATATCAATTGAGAAATAATTTTATTTTTCTAATGAATTTTAATAAATATTATTATTTTTTATTATTATAAAGATAAATATGATTTATTTATTTCATATATACAATATGGATGTCAAATCGAAGATCATCAAGAGATAATTAATTTGATATATTATATATGTAAAACCGATAAGAAATACAAAAGTTATCAACTTTTAAAATACATTTACAATTCAATAGCTGATTGAAGGAAATAAATCAAAAGTCAGAGATATATTAGTCGTGTCTCACTATGTAAAATAACAAAGAATTAAAAGGTTATATTAGTAAATGTTATATTAAAATACCTAAGTTAGCTAAATAATATTTATGGAATGTCAGAACCTAGATTATTAATCTCCCTATATATAATTCCCGAATGCACTGAGCCTACGTGGCTGCTTCTGGTGATTCGGAATCCTACTTGGCGAAGAATCATGCTTCGTAACTAGGTTTGGACAAATAATATTAATATATTATTAATTAATAATCTAGGTTCGGACATTCCATAAATATTATTTAGCTAACTTAGGTATTTTAATATCACTTGTATTGATATAACCCTTTAATTCTTTGCAATTTTATACAGTGAGACACTAAGTGACTAATATATCCCTGACTTTTGATTTGTTTCCTTAAATTAGCTATTGAATTATAAATGTATTTTAAAAGTCGATAACTTTAACATTTCTTATCGGTTTTACATATATAATATATCAAATTAATCATATTTTCATGGTATTTGATTTGACATCCATATTATATATATTAAATAATATATTACATTTATCTTTATAATAATAAAAAAAATAATATTTATTAAAATTTATTAGAAAAATAAAATTATTTTTCAGTTGATATATTTATGTTTAATGTAGTTATATGTTGTAAGTTAAAAAAATTATTTTAATATAACACAAGTAAGCCACACAAATAAAAAGTATCATACTAAATATACAATAATATATATTTTTTAATAAAAGGTATTTAAAATTTCAACTACTTTTTCTCATTAATTTTAGATTTTAAGGAAAAAATTAGCAAGCACCCGTGTAATACACGGGCGTTGTACTAGTTATTAATATATCAATATTATTTGTCCAAACCTAATTACGAAGCATGATTCTTTGCCAAGTAGGACTTCTAGGGAGGATATCTATATATATAAAAAGATTTATCATTTTTAAAAAATGGCAGGTCAATTTTTGGTTAAATCTCTTTCTTCATTAATTATTTACTATTAATGGCAACTTCTTTCCCCCTTTTTTTTTCACGTTCAGCTATTAAATGCCCACAAAATGCGGGAGATTTTCAGTAATTAATTTGGTATAAACATTTCCAAAAAATGCGGCTCAATTTTTTATAATGAATACTATTCACTTAATTTGTTTTTTTTACATAATATTGCATAAAATTTTATTCGAAAAATGTATGAATACAATTATATTTGATATTTGACTTTTTTTATAACACGTGTATTAATACTTTTTGACATGACATAAAACTATTTTTTTTAATAATTACAATTTTTTAAGCACGTGTTTTTATGGATACATTTTTATTTCTAATTACCTAGCATATAAGTTAGTAACACGATTTTGTTTTCCTGTAAAGAATCCCAATTGTAAGAGAAATATAAAATTATATATTTTGTTTAATTAGCTCTATTTTTTATGTTTAAAAAATTAAAAATTATATTGTTTCCATCTGTTGGGACTCTTTTAAAGGGTTTTATATTCTAGATATCTAAACATTCACATAACCTCTGTTTGTTGTAAACAAATCCAATTTATATGGAATTCTAAAATTAAACATACTTTGTAATTAACTATGATTTTTATAACCGTTTTTTATGTTTAATTAAATTTAAAATTATATTGTTTCCAAGTTTTGGGATTCTTTTTTTCAGTCTTGGCGTGCTTTTTTTTTATTTATGAAAATCTCTACATACCAGTTATTATAAGATGTAGTGGTCGGAAACAAATCCATCTTATATGGTATTATAAAATTAAACAAATCAGTTATGATATGTAGATCGATAATTTATATGTTTAATTAAATATTAATTACACGGTTTCCAACTCTTGGGACTCTTTATTGTTTTCAAATTTAAATAATGTATATATTCTTATAAATACGGTTCTTCTAAATTCATTCTGCTCTACAGATTTGCACAAACGTTTTCCATTCGGCTTTACCCAATTCTACTTGCATTACCGTAAAAAAAAAATGCCATCGGCACTGAAATCTCGAATAATATATTAGAGCAAGCTCCTTGCTTGCGGAAATTTATGATTTGACAATGCATTTATCCTGAAAATTTAATTTAGAAAATCACATTTTTCTCATTGTTTTGCACATGTCCAATAAACTAAATTTAGCGTTATTATATTCTCTGTATTTTTTACATTTATATTGCACAAGTTAATATCTAAATGCATATTTATCATAAAATCCTATGAGCTTATGTCCAATGATGACTAACATGATATATCTGACGATAAAAATAAAAAATAAACCAACTTTGAACAAAAATTAAGATAGATAGCTTATTCATAAACAATTAATAAAAAACAAACAAACCAATTTTGTGTCGAACCTGAAACATTGCAATTATTATTTTCAAAACAATATAGAAATTATTAAGGAAAATTTTACATTTATTTACAGTCTTATTTTGATTTATTTGATGGTCAACATAATAATTGTTGTATGTAACTTTTTGTTTTATTTGGATAAAATTGTGAAATACTATGAAATATGAAAAAGGGAGAGGGAGAGAAATTAGAGGGAATCATTAATTTATGTTTCTATCTATATATTAATAAACTCATTACTAAGGAAGTTACATGATTCAAACTAAAAACATACTTTATTAGTATAGCTAGGAATGTACAATAACTATCTTCATAAAATAGGAATGAAAAAGTTAAACTTGTAATAAAATATAACTTATAATATGTTGGAAATTAGAAAAATTGTCGAAGCGTTGGGGCAATTTTTTTGGCGACAACAATCAGCATCTGCAGCCCAGGATAGAAGCCCAACAAGGGAGCCCAGTTGAGTGAGGCGTTCCGCAGCCCGCGTTCGGCCGAAGTCGGCCTGTGCTCCTCACAACGAGTTAAACAGTAATCAAACTCATATGTTGTATACAAAGAGGCTTTTAATAATATAAGATTTTTTAGTGACGAACATTTTATGATGAATAATGTTCGTATGTAATAAACTCTCATATATTCTAATGCATGTCAAATTATAATATTCTCCAAATTTATATATCCGTGCATCGCACGGGATACGCACTAGTATATTTTATTATAACAAATATTTAACTTTTCAACTATTTTTTCTCATTAGTTTTAAATTTTAAGAAAAAAAATAATAACAAGCACCCATGTAATACACGGGTGTTTTGTACACTTGATAATTTTGTATTTGATCAAATGTTTTTGCAATTGTCTTCTTATAAGTGTGGTGCTCAAGAGATTTATGATTTGGACAGCAATACCTTTTTAATAAATATATATATATATATATATATATTTATAAATTGAAATATTTTTATTTCTTTTTATATATATAGTACAGATAACAATATAGCATTTCAAATAACAGTGCATTTTTTATTAAGATAGTAAAAAGAATCATGTCATTTAAATATTTTTATTACAACACATTTATTATTAAAACAATATAGTAGATCGATAGATCTAATAATTTTTAGTACAAATTCTTGTATGAGGTTGTTTAAGTGTTAACTGAATCTATCTGTCATAATTTGTTAATAGCAATTCATATTTATGTTACGAAATGTCATACTTTTGTTTCGATCGTTTTTCTGATGATGACATTTCAAATTGACAGCATGCATATTTGTTAAAAAAAAAACAAAATTTTCTAACCGTTAAACCTGCTTAAACAATTTAACTAAATAATTACCTCACCTCATACAATAACTTGTGTTACTTCTAAATTTTGTTTGCAACCAATTAACAAGACCATCTGCCTTGCCTTGTGGTTTTTGTGTTTCTTTTTTCCTTTTGGAAGAATTGTGTACCCTTTATTTGAAATGTTCCTATAGTATGAAAGTCTAAGTTAGGGTTTGTTACTTGTTAATGAACTGACCGATTGCGAATAAAAGCCCGTTCGTGTTCGATAAAATCTTGTTCTTTTGTTAATCAAGCGGTTCGAACAAAAAAAAGGGCTCATTTAATAATCGGACGAACATGAGCTCGTTCGCGAACGGTTGGTATTAATGTGTGAACATTAATTTAATATAATTTTATTTTTTCTTTTATATTTACATGATATTCTTAATTAAAAAACTAAAATATATCTTTTTTTATATCGAACGAACATATTTCGAGTTGATAAAATATATTTATAAGTTTGTGTCCTAAATTACTTGAACACGAATGAACTCGAACTTTGATCAACAATTAAATGAACGAGCTCCATGATAGTATTTTACTCGAAAAAATAAACGAACAAACACTAACTGCAGTGTTTGAAAATAAACGTACACGAGCTCGAAATGCCCAAAGTTCGACTCGTTCAGTTCGATTACAACACTAAGTCTAACTATAGCGTTTGAAAAGACTGATTGGTCTTGGCCTTACAATATTCAGAAGGTTGTTATTGGACAGACCTTTCGTCTAACAAGGCCACTCCTCATAATTTATTCAACGTGTGCTTATAATATAAAATATTATATATTTATTTTCTATTAACTTCTTAGAAAACTCATCATTTTTCGTTTTGTTAATTAGTCTCCCTCAAGCAACATACAAAAATTGTCTCCCCAAATTCTACAAAAAAGAAAAAAAAAAAAAAAACTTCAACCTTATAAATTGACAAATATACCCTCTCCTCCTCATGCCAACAACCAGCTCACACCAACCACCCCCAAAACCAACCCAAGAAAGTTGAACTCAGCACAACCCCTCACCCCACCGGCAGGCCGGCCGGCGACCACCGTGACCGGCGGCGATTGTCCCTCCTCAGCTGTCTCGGGCGGCGGCACGTATGCCGGAGGCGGCGGCTGGTTGAGGCTCGGTGGGAGCCCAAGCCCGTGAGCCACCGTGATCTCGAAGGCCATCCCGTGAAGGCACTCCTCCCCATCCTCGGCATCCGAGAAGTAGTATTGAGTGCCCTCAATAGTCAAAGGCACGGCTATTGTGGACAAGTTACCGAATTCATCGTGGCCACCCGAGTATTGGAAAGTGTCGGAGTCCAAAGCATCATCCATCAAGCAACTTTCGAATGTGGTCTTGTTGTAGGTTTGGATTACGGTGTGGTTCGTGTTGGTGTTGAAAACTGGAAAAAAAAAAAGAAGAAGCAGAATATATGATTGGGAAGCTAAAAGTTAAAAGTTAACAGTAATAGGAGATGATTACTGTAGATAGAAAGTAAGAATTAGACAAGTTTGAGAAAGATTGTGTGTTCTTGTGTGGAAGTCAAAACATTTTTCTGAAAAAAAAATGTCAATGAGAATAAAATTAAAGCATAATCAGAATCAGATTCTGGTTAATGATTAAATACAGAACCAGAAACAAAATTTGACATTTGAAATCACAACAAACTATTTGAACTCAACATAACCTCACAATGCATGCAAAAGTTCTCAGTTCTTAAGAGAAGATGATCGTCTTAACAGCGGTGTTCATATCTATCTAACTTTACACAAGACTTGTGAATACTCTCCAACTTTGAAGGTTTAGTTTCAATAAACAAACACTAGATTGCACATAATCTATCTGCACCGGCACAAATCGCCCGTAAAACTATCATTAACGTACAAATATTACATTTTTTTACAATGTAATTTCTCGTTCGCCATAAATTTTTGATATAAAACAAGCTAGCTACTCATTTAACTTCAATAACACTATAGACTTCCTTTATTCCTTCCCCATAACTTAAGTAACATTAAAGTAACAAAGCCAAACTAAACATGTATTCATCAGTGGGTAATCATTCAGTTGCTATTATTTATATTAGAATATTCACTTCTAAGTTGTCCTACATCGTTTATACAAGGAAAATAGGCCTAATTTATAAGTATAATGAGCCTCTCCTCCTACCACCAATTGGTTTTGGGATGAAACCTCACTTGAGTTTCATCTGGGCTTTCTGTCTTGGTGCGCTTCATCTGCGTGGAACCGCACTCGTTTCTTGCAATTTACAGACACTAATTGGAAAGACCCTAGTAAGATAATGTCCGCTTTGGGCTACTTCCGCCACCCGCACGACTTTGTTCTTGGCTGGGCTTCAATACACACCCACCAAAACGCGTCTTACTAGTGAAGGTATCCACATCCTCATATAAGGCCTGCTTCGTTTCCTTACAAACCCGATGTGGGATGCGCTGCATCATCCACCCCCTTGTGGGCCCAGCGGTCACCGCTGGCACATGGGCTGGCTCTGATACCAACTGATGTAGCGCAGCGTCGAACAAAAGGGAACACAAAGAGGTGAAATCTCCCAAACAGTAATTTTATTTCACGATAAACTGATTTTCATAAGAGAGAAGAAGGGAATAAATAGTCTTCAAATCCTAGGTCTCCTAAACATCCTAAATAAGGGAATAATACTTAAATAAATATTAAATAAAACATGGAATAATAATAAAAGCTAGGAAATAAATAACTAGACTAAAGAAGACATCCGGTCGTATTTCTGCATAAACGCCAATGCGGTCTCGTCTCCATCACATAAAGTACTTAACTTGAGTTTACAGATCATGAACAGTCATCTCAGTAAAGTACATCACAAAACCCATGAATGATTTTAACTAAAGATTCAATTAATGTCAATGAATCA